AATTTCTCAAGATTTTTACTCAGCATTGTATCAGCGAGAAGAACTTCCACATCCTGATCAAAATCAAATACCAAAAGTTCAAAATATAGGCTCAGAAGACATCCCAGATATCACAACAGAGGAAATAAAATCAGCTCTTTCGGAGATGAAAAACAATAAGTCACCTGGAGAAGATGGAATAGTCACTGAACAAATTAAAGGAGGCGGGACGTTACTAAATGTGTTGAAAAAGATGTTCAATGCTTGTTTGACAAGAGGCGTAACCCCCTCCCAGTGGCATAATGCAATAATAATCATAATGCACAAAAAAGGTGACATTTCAGACCTAAAGAACTACAGACCGATTAGTTTGCTCTCCCATACATACAAACTATTCATGAAGATAATAACAAAACGGCTTTTGAACAAACTGGATAGTTAACAACCTTGTGAACAGGCTGGGTTCTGCTCCAGATACGGAACAAATGATCATCTACAAGTTATAAAAACGCTAATAGAAAAGTGCACAGAGTATAACAAGCCTATCTTTCTTATATTCGTAGATTATGAAAAGGCGTTCGATACTATAGATCATCATAAAATGCTTCTAGCATTGGCTGACTGCCGCATTGACTACCGATATATCGTCTTAATTAAAAGTATTTACGAAACTGGTACAGCTTGTGTCCGCCTTCATGAAGATACCAAGAAGTTTCGAATAGAACGTGGAATTAGACAGGGTGATATTATCTCCCCTAAATTGTTTACGGCTGTTCTTGAATATATGTTCAAGCAAATGGAACAAGAGGATAATATGGTAATTAATATAAATGAGGAAGATCTGATCCACCTAAGATTTGCCGATGATATCGTTTTAATATCTGATAGAGTTGATAAAGCTACAAAAATGCTGCACACGCTTTATAAAGTATCAAAAATAATTGGTCTTAAAATTAACACCTCAAAGACAAAATTTATAACCAACCTTGTAGTCAGCGGTAAAATTCTGATTGGGAGCCATAGCATCGACCAAGTAATAGCTTACAAATATCTAGAACATGAGATTCGCTTAGGCCGAGATAATCAGACAACTGAAATACAAGGTTCCTTGATAACATCAATGAAGACATAAGAAATATAGGAATACGTGTTTGGCGGAGAAAGGTGATGGATAGGGACGACTGGAGAAAAATTCTTGAGGAGGCTAGGACCCACGTAGGGTTTGTAAAACTAGAATGATGATGCTGATGATTTTTTTTTCTGGATATGGATACTAGACCATAAAGGAATTAGTAAAATTACTAAAAAAGTATTCTTTTTATCGGGTCACAGTCATTCTACGATATACCAATAATTCACCTAGTGGAGGTTGTCCGAAAATAGGAACATGAACTTAATTTGGCCCGCTGGAAAATATTCCAAGTCAAAGGAAAGCAAAAAGGTTATTAGAGGTAATGGATTTTAACAAGAGCTATGAGTCATGTCGATTTAGTACACAAGTTTACCTGTTATTTACAAGCTCACAGCTCTTGTCAAAATCCATTACCTTTACAACCCCTTCCGCTCGCAAAGCAAAAATATTCTTAGAGAGTTTGTCTCTACAAGACTGAATACAAGAGTAACTACAGCTGTCTTGACTGTTCCTTACTTACTCACGTCTGTGGCCTCCAATAGACCCCGTACGCCGCATACAAGCTTACGCTATACGTCGCATGTAGCGTTTGTCTGTCGCCGGCAACTTCACGTAGCCACTACAGAATATTAGGTTATTATCTCCAATAAACGCCGTACGTCCCGTATAGCGTTAGGGTGCGATCATAACGGAGACCATCGCACCGTCTCCTCACCTAGAGCGTAGCACTGACGGTGAACGCTCGCATTTAAAGTAATACATTTATTTTACCGAATGGCTCGAGCCGGGGTCGACGCCTCGTTATGAACGCACGCTTACGCTATACGTCGCATACAGCGTTTGTTGGTAGCCGGCAACTTCACGTGGCATATAACATATATATTACTACCCTTATAATATAACACAATACATTTATTCTATATATAGATCTATTCATTATTATTTAGTTAGTTGATAAAATTATAGTACATATTTTTAAAAACCTGGCTTTTCAATTATTTCACGTATTTTTCCCCAAAATTTGTGTTTGTCAATATTTTTTTTGTAATTCTCATAGCTGGCATCATATATTTAGCTATTACTTTTTACCAATACATTTAACAACTCGTCTTTTTTGCTGTTATGAATTAATTGACTCATTGTGCCAGGATACAACGTGTACCAGTCTTTACAATGATCGAAAATAACTACCACATCCATTATTTATTATTTAAAGCATACAGACGTGATGTATGTCGTAGAGCTATACGCCGCGTACTGCGTTTATTGGAGACCACCGCCTTATTATGCAGTAACTATGTATCTCAGAAACGAATAATAGGCTTTGTTATAAGTTTAAATATGTTGACTGAATTTAGATATAAGGTATACGCTATACACAAAATATCTTTCAGGTCGCAGTGTGGAAAGGTCTATAATGTCAAACAACCCTTTTGAAATCACAAAAAGATTAAACTACGAATTGAAGCACCTATATGCTTGTTTTTAAAATAGAAGAATGCTTATATTATTAAATTTAATAATAGAAGAATGCTTATTTATTAAAGATATTCGTCCCTATTTTATTAATTAAATGAAGTAGTAGTACTAATACGATTAGCACAATATAGACAAGAGTATTAATTTAATTGTTGTCAATCTCTATTGAAGAAACAATAGACAAAACAAAAACTATTGTAAAGTAAATATTAAAAGATTTACGCAATTTTTATTTCTTGTTACTCGATCTTATAACTTAGCATGCAATAGCATTGAACCTGAGCAATTTTTTAACCCTATAATATATTGCTGAAAACTTTATCAATTAACACTACTATAAAGCAAGGTTGTATATGTTACGCTTCACTTGATAGGTATGCTAATTCCAATTTGTGGTATCATTCTAATGTGAGATTAATTTGAATACAAAGTGTGAATACTAGACTATTATATTACAATACATGTTCCTATCTTAAAGGCGGTTCAAAGCACTTGATGACCATCGTCATTAACGACGTGCGTTTAAGTTTTTTTTTGTTAAACTTGAATTATGGTACACCGTATAGCGTATTTCTCTCTATTGTTGAGATGATAAAAAAGCAAAAAGGTTCTGAAACTGTTTCTAATCCCATATAAACACAATATTAAACTTGGTAAAAGCGTAATTATTAATTAAAGTTGGCTTTGTTGTTAATTTTTAAATTTCGTTTTAAATTGTTAAAAAGTAAAATACAGCCAAAAATATCAGTCAAAGTAGAAGTAGAAGCCAGATGTCATAACGTTCATTAAAACACAGCGACTTAGATGGGCTGGACACATAATACGAATGCCAGAAAATACGATTGCTAAAAAGCTAACCACAGGAACACCTGTAGGAAAAAGAAGCAAAGGCCGACCGCGAATTAGGTGGTTAGATGGAGTTGAAACCGACTTACGAATATTAAAAATCAGAAGATGTTGCCAAAAACCGAACAGAATGGCGACGAATCTTAGAGCAGGCCAAGATCCACAGAGGATTGTCGAGCCAAAGATGATGATGATGATGAAAATGACTAGGTCATTTGCATAGCCCAGTACATGATATCTGTTGTAACTTTGCATACATCACACGACTCTTTAGCATGAAGTTTATCCACTTGTAGCTTGTTTTGTCTATTCCTTTCAGCCGAATCACCCTTGTGATTGCTTTGTAGATGTCGAATACTCCTTGTATATCAAGAAATACATCACCCCTTGGTCTACAGGATCGTACTCCATCATCCGAAAGTTAAGCGACAAGTAAGAACACTTTTCACAAAATGCACAGAAATGGACCTTAGTTAACAAGAGTTGCTACCTTAGGTCCGTATTGAGACGTCGTCTCAGGGCTAGCAACCGCATTTGGGAGTTTTACGTTGCCATGAAGTAAATCTGTAATATATAACTTTAACAACATTTAAAGAATTTTTTCCCATGTATTTTGCTGACGTCACTTATTTATACCTAGTAACAGCACTGATGATAGAAATATTATGTCGAAAACGTTCTGTGATATAGCCCTAAAGGGTTCTTTTTTAAAGAAATATACTTTTTATAATGAAATTGATTTATGGTATACAGCCGCCTACTGGAAATTCATTTGACTTATGGATACTAAACATAGATTCCTGAAGTAAAAATGAAGAGCTAATAGTCAGTTGAAAATATACAGACGGTTTGTAAAATCCGGTGAACTACTGGTGGTATTCCAAAAAGCCTCTAGAAAACATCGCAATATCGGTTAAGTCTTAAGAGCTTTATAGATCTTATTTTTTTGAGAGAATCAGACCCTTTTGCTTATGTTGTCTTCTTAAAAATGTATCTACATTTTTCCATTCTTCCGTCTCTGCCATTATTTTATTCCAGCGTCAAGTCTTCAACTCTTTGCAGCGTCTATGATCTCGTTCTTCCCCTTTTCTTTCTTTCTTTCTTATGTATTTCATTCTATCATCGCGTATGCTACTGCTGGATGTTTTGCTTGCTAGATGTGTCCTACCCGTCTTGTTGTACATTGATTTATTTTGGTCACGATATATTCGTGCTCCTTTGGTCATCTATACTAGGCCTCTAAAATGCGGTGATACCACAGTAGGGACGTCTTAATACTTTAGGAAATTTGTGGGAGATACTCCAGCATACTAGGTCACCTAGGGCTCGATACTAGCAAAAATAGCCGCATCAGAACTCAATGTGGCGATCATAATATAAGCGTTTGTACGTAGAATTTTTCTTCCTCGTATAGTGTAGGCCCAAGAAGTCGCAGACTATCTTGCTGTATCTACTACTAATTAAAAGTATTATTAAAATAATATTACTTATTTGTTATAATTTATTATATATATATTATATTGGTTTATTACAAAAAATATTTAAATTCTTTTTTTTGTTATAGAATGGTTTAAACGCCCTTCATTTGGCGTCGAAGGATGGTCACATAGAAATAGCTAGAGAACTATTAAAACGGGGTGCTATACCAGATGCGGCGACGAAAAAAGGAAATACCTCATTACACATAGCTTCCCTTGGTAAGTTGATTATTTTTTCTATTAACGTTATAAATATTAGTCTTCGTGTGTCTGTCAAGGGTTTTTTAGTTTTTTTAGTTTCTTTTTTATTTTGAGGTTTTTTATGCTACATTAAAAACTAGGACTACTCAGTTTTTGGTAAATTCACAAACAATGAATAGCCAATTGGTTATTATATTGCAATAATGCAAAAAACAAGGATAAACTATTGCATAAGTATTCGCTATTCTTAATAGTAATTCGAAAAAAAAATGGCCGATAGTCCGTTAGAAGCCTTCGATGGACGAGGGATACTAAGAATCTCCACGAAGAATAATACAGATCTCCCAAAAGTGGAATATATTTTAACCCTTGACGATGCAAGCACAGAAAAATTTTATAGAGATCAAACAACTGTTGAAATACACAAAGGAAGACATCATCAACTGGATTATATTTGATTAAAATGCTAAAGTGGCCGTAGGAATAGCCGAGGTCATTGTCAATTCATAGAAAATATATGTAGGAATCAATTACAGTATTGTGCGAATTAATGGAATCATAGGCTGTTTTAATGAAAAAACAGTTTATTTAGTAAAAAATTATATTTTGACAAAACTGTAAAGGTAAACTTACATCATTCAGTAGGAAATATGTCCCCATTTGGCAGCAATTACTGCTTTTACCCGTTTTGGCATAGATTCTATGAGTTTCTGGCAGTTGTCAGATATCCTTTCATCTCGATACCAAACCTGAATGGCCGCTTCTATCATTTTTGTTTTAGTGGTACAGTCGATTTTTCGCAGTCTAGCTTTGCAAATGGCCCATAAATTTTCACTGGGGTTGAGGTCGGGCGAATTACCGGGCCAATCTAAAACATTAATCTTCTCATTTTGAAAAATGCCATCATTTCCTTTGATTTGTGACAGGGAGCAGAGTCCTGTTGAAGAATCGCTCCTCCTTGGGGTTGACATTTTTGGAGTTGTTTGTCCAAATACTTTTCCAACATGGATTTGTATTTTTGGCTGTTCATCATGCCTTCAATTGGCACCAAAGGTCCAACCCCCATGTATGAAAAACATCCCCAAAACATTTTCTTGTGAATATTGAAAAAATGAAAAAAAAATTCACAGTGATTCCATCAATTCGCACAATACTGTAGCTTCGGAACAAGCATAATGAGATAATGACAAAACAAGCATACATTTGTCTTGTCTATTCTTTAATTCATATTAGGAATGTGTGTTTATTATAAACAATTTGAGATATGCAGACGATACTGTTATAACTGCAAAGAGTCCAGAGAGTTTGGCACGACTTGTAGATGTAATTTCTGGGAAAAGCTATAATCTAGGTTGGAAATCAATTTTAAACTAATTCATTTATAAACGACAATAATGATATATCAGAAGGTGGTGACGTGGTTTGGGTGGAGGTTGGCGTGGGGGTTAGCGTGGGGATTGGGGCGTAGGTTGGCGCGAACATTTCTGATAGTAGGATTTTGATTGGCGGATGAAGCGGAAGATATTTTCTTTCTGAGAGATCTCATGAGGAGAGGTCTATGCCGAAGGTAACCATATGCTGTCATCTCTTTTAATGAGACAATTTGGCCTTTTTTCAATTTCTACGGTTTCTCAGATAATCTATAGAAGCGGCTTGGGGATATGGTTCTGGAGTTTTCAAAATTAATTTTATGACCTGTATGAAGATGCTGTTGACCTAGAGCTGTGATTGAATCGGAATTGCAAACAGAAATGGAATGTTCATAAATCCTGTTTTAAATTTTACGATTCTTCTGCCCTATAAAAGATCGGGGACAGTGCACAAGACATTTCACAAACTCCGTGTTGTTCATTTGGAATATTGTCTTCTAATTGATTGGACAGGAGATGAAAGCTTTATTATGTGGAAATTAAAAACAGTGTTGTCTTTTATGTTTTGTGTTATATTATTGAACATGAACTTCAAGTAATCGTCAATTCCATCAATAGCTTAAATAATAATAGCACCTGTCTTAGTTAACCTCTTTAGTGATGCTTTCGCTAGTGTGATTAATAACACTGGACAACAACAAAAAATATTTTGTAGACAAAGTTTTATTAACCTATTGTTACTCGTATAGTACTGTTCTACTACATCACGTATGGTTTTTTGTAACAGTCAAATGCAAATAATACATTTGTTTACCTATGTACAGCTATACAGATATGGGTTTACTATATTAAAAAATAGTTGTGAGGAATTTTCGTAAGTATTTTGCTTGTAACATATGTTTTAAATCTCTAAAATCTTTAAAAGCAGTAGTCAACCAGCATTATCGGACTCCATTTTCCTTCATATCTTCATAGAAACGTTCTCCAACATGTCCAATATTTTGTGGGAGAAACCCAAGGAAATTAATGTTTCTTGATTCACATTTGGACATTAAGAATTGAGATATGTTGCAGTCCAAATTACTGTAGGCTTTTAGTAAATTGTTGAAATATTGTTGTAGTTGTCGTCTTTATAGGCCCATGCTCTTTTTTATCATTAAGTTTGCTTTTGAAATTGTTATCGTTTATCAAATCTCGTATTTGTGGACTTACAAAGATGCCCTCTTTAATTTTCTTATCACTTAGTCTAGGAAAGTTTTCTTTTTGCTTTTCTTTTTCCAGCCTGCAATCCAAGTAACTTAGCATTACTTTAAGATCTCCACATAAGTTCCATCTGTATCTATCGTATTGGATATTTTCTAAATTAAGGTTCATATTGGCATATGTCTCTTTCATGTTTGCAGAATGGGCCAAAAGGACTGAAGGAAATTGGTTACCGTTATGCAATAGAAAAATTGGAATTAAGGCTAACTTTGGATGAGTCTATAAATAAACTCCACTCTACTGGTGTATGCCCATGACCCGAAGTGTTCATTACTACTGAAGTGCTCTCCTTCTTGGAAGAAAAAAATCCTCAAAATCCCCTTGCTTGTTTATAAAGTAACATACTTAAGTTTAAACCCCTAAGGCGTGACCCCAACAGTTTCGCTTATCCCTAACAAAACCAAATCATTAAGGTCACCTTGAGTTTATAAATGAGGCTCAAAGGCTACCTCAAAACTAGGATCTTGTATTTCCTTATTTTTTTTTTAAATCAGGTTCACGATTTGTATTTTTTTTTTTTAAGTTCCATCTTCTGTCGAAGGTTGGAAATCTTCGTGGACCCTGTTGACTGCCGCTTTAAATAGTTCTGTACTACTGCATTCAAACCATTCCCTCAAGTTCTTAATCCACGATATTCTTCGTCTTCCCACATTTCGCTTTCCTCAAATTTTGCCTTCACGATTTGTAGTGTCACTAATTTCTATGGATGTTGGAGGAGGGAGTATTGGTAGTTCTTGGCTGTGGCAGGTCAGATTGCGGAAGTTAATTAAGATATTTTAAAGTATGTTTTGACTTACTTGTTATCCTTGCTCTATTTTTTTATGCAAAAGTAACAGTCTGAAGAATGATCCGTCAGTTCCGTCCACACCATTGGAACTGCAAGCGACATATGGCGAAAACCGTTGGCCCAGCAAGTCAACAGTGTACAGCATGTTACACAACATATTTATATGTGGGCCCAGTTTTTGTCTTGGACAAAATAAAGTTTATAACACTTTTTCATCAAAGGAGTAAAATTGTTCTTTGAGATTTTAAAAGTAAACTCGCCACATACATAACAAAACTTGTCCAGATGGTTTAGACATCTACAAGGCATGTTTAACTATGCACACAAAACAATTTAGAAGCACTATGACTGTTTGGGGAATGAAGCTACTGTTTGGGGACCATAGTCAAGACTCCTTATCATAACAAAAAATGTACATCCATATACATATATATGATACTTAACTAAAAACTTTTCACTTAATAAGCTATTTTTTAGGTAAGTGTTATTTTAAATCTATATTGAAATTACAAAAAATCCGTGAAAATCAAAAATAAAGTAGAATTTTTAAAGAAATTCTTATGTTATTGATTACATATTTGAATTCTACTCATCAAAATACACAAGCAATAGTACAAATAATACATGGGACAAAACATGTGTTTTCCAGTGTATTTGTTGAAATGTCTTGTCAAAAGTTTTAAGATCTATTCTTATATCGTATTGTATAAAATACTGTCAGTAATTTCTACATTGTTTCGAATTGACATTTACATCTTTATATTTTGTCGACGACACAATGCTTCAATTAACCTGGTATATTTTTACAGCTGCATGCTCCATCAAAATTCAGAGTTTATCACTTATTACAGTTGCAGATCAAATGGTCCCTGTAGGTACATGTTTAATGTTCAAAAATTCCTATGATAACTTGGATATTATTTGGAAACCGGTCAACTATTCGGATCACAACATTTAACATGATTTCCAAACATATGAACATGCACTTTGCGATGTTTTACAATGGTTGGCACCGACCTGGTAACCCATATCCTGCAAAGAAATATGCAATGGCCCATTTATGTACAACCCACAAGAGAATAAAATATTTTATAAGCGGTTATAATGTCAAGGAGCATGATATTACTAAAATCGATAAATAATTATATTAAATAGAGTGAATAGAATATCTCCACCAACACTGATGTATGGTAATGTTTTGAGTGTATATTCAAATTTATATTAACCTTGCATATTAATATACAATAAACAAGATATGATACTAAAAATACAGAAAATTACAATAAATAAAAAACGAAAAAGTGCAAATAAAACTTTATCAAAAATATACAGGGTGCGGCAATAGTTGGTCGAAATACGAATATTTTTTATTATATGAGCTGAAGAAAGATCAACAGAAAATTAAAAGTATGAGTTTTGCACTTCCAAAAATACCAGGACCCAAAAAATGCGAAGAATACCGTACGATAAGGCTCACGAATCATCTCTTAAAATTGTTTCTCAAATTTCCTCCGACCAAAGAGCCATAGAGAAATCGGGCATAACAACCAGAGGTACGATCATCAATAGAAGTGTACAGATATATTGGCCTACGCAGA